CTCGCTACCGTAATCCGTAAGCAATTCAGTAATTCATATAGTAATTCATACGTAATTATATTCATATATTCATAGTAATTCATACGGTTTTCTAAAAGTTTTTCGATTTCTCTGAACACGTGACTTTTCCCTGACAAGAATGTCAAAATTCTTTTTTTTTCAAATCAAAAAAAACTTCGAAAATCAAATATTTTCGGCACTTTTTTTCCCTTTTCCTTTTAAAAAATGCACTTTTATTTTCCAGAAATAGGGACAGAAACGCGAAAATGTTCCGTGTTGTTGCTTGGGGAAAACTTGAGAAAATTTGCGTTTACGATTTGCGAAAAAACTTTGAAACCTTTGAAAACTTTGAACTTTTGAACTTTAGAAACTTTAGAAATTGTAGAAATTGTAGAAACCAAAGCCCAAGCCTTTTCATGATCGCTAAGGTGGGGATTAGAGGCAGACTTAGGCTTAATGCCAAGGCTAAATCTTAGATCAAAGCCAATCATAAGAGCAAAAGCAGATCAAGGACCAGAATATGGTACTAGAGGGACTAGGAGACGCCCCAAGGTTAGGCTAACGTTTAAATCAAACTCAGAATCAATGCTCAAACAAAATCCGAATACCTAAGGCAAGGACTTGATCAGGCTCAGATTCAGACTCAGGTTCAGGCTCAGACTCAGACTCAGGCTCAGGCTCAGGCCCAGGCTCAGGTCATGGCTAGCTTTGCTAGGCCAAAGCCGATCCAAGGACCAGGCCCAAGTTCAGACCAAGGCAGGGACCAGGAGCAGGCTTTAGGCTAAAGATCAGACTCAATATCAAGCCCAGAGGCTAAATACGGATCAGAGTATGACAGATCAGGTTCAGGAATTATAAAACAATCCAGAAAGGACACAAATAATTTGTAAATTCGTAGCTTTTCTGATTCCTATTTAGTTCTATGCTAATAGGCACTTCAAGCTCTTTACTAAATATCCAGATAATCCCTCTACCCTTGGCAGTAACCTTCATTTGTTTGTTTTAAAATCTCACGTGTTCCTCAAAAGAGTCAAGTTCTTTACGAGATCGATTCCGTCGAGTGTTGGAGAGGGGAAATATGTGGGGAGCTTACCGTTGAACCTCTTAATCTTTCGAGAAAAGGAGGGAAGAGGAGAAGGAAGAGGAGGAGGAAGAGGAGAAGGAAGAGGAGAGATTTATGTAGAGGATGGGTCTTCAGGGAAGCCTGAAGACCCATCCTGACATAGCAGGGTGGGCAGGGTAGGCTGGGTGGGGCTGGGTAGGGCTGGGTGGAGCTAGGTGGACCCCTCAGGGCCCCCTAGGCCCCCAGGCCCCTCCCGCCCCCCGTCCCGCCCCTTTTCTCTCACCCCTCCCGCCCCTTTCTATTCTTTGTCCCAAGGGAAGCTTCGGAATCCCCTTCTTCTCGAGTAGTATGTGTGCGCCATTTCACTCCAATTTTCCTCCTTTTACTTCCCATTCTTCTTCTTCCTTTTTCTTCTTCTTCTTCTTCTTCTTCTTCTTCTTCTTCTTCTTCTTCTTCTCCTTTATCCAATCCCATATCCCGTTTTCTCGTAGCCTTATCAGATCCCCATCCATTATCCCAGTTGTTCCTTATTTAGACTACGCTGGCTAAAATCCCTTAGTCCATTATCGCAAATCTAACTTCTTTTTAGAAATCATCTTCTTCTCAGCTTCTAGATTTCCGAACTAGTATTAAAAATACTAGTTCGGAAATCTACTAGTATTAAAAATACTAGATTTACTTGTTCTAGAGACTTCTAGAGACAATTTACTTGTTCTAGAGACTTCTAGAGACAATTTACTTGTTCTAGAGACTTCTAGAGACAATTTACTTGTTCTAGAGACTTCTAGAGACAATTTACTTGTTCTAGAGACTTCTAGAGACAATTTACTTGTTCTAGATGTCTATCTAGAGACTCTAGACGCTAAATAAGTAACTAGAACTAGATTTCTATATAATATCAAAGTTACTGATTAAATTATCCAGATAAAGACAGAGATGGCGTTTACTTTTACTTTTAAATCTCATCTTTAACTTGAATTCATCGCTAGAAAAGCCGACTGCCATCTGGCAATTTTTCAGAAATCAATCATTTAAAGATATTCAGTTAACTAAGCTGAATATTCAGCTAGGCTTAAAGATATTCAGCTCGGCTTAGCGTTGGCGTTAGTTAGCTCAGTTAACGAAGCTGAATATTTTTAAATGAATGGCTAAATGGTTGAATATCTTTAAGCCTAGCTGGGTCTTCTTTAAGCCTAGCTGAATATCTTTAAGCCTAGCTGAATATCTTTAAGCCTAGCTGGGTCTTCTTTAAGCCTAGCTGGGTCTTCTTAATCTCATGATATTCAGCTATTCGCCTTACAATCACTTATTCTGCTTCTCCGGGTTTCTCGCATCATTTTCCAATGTTTCGTTTGCTCTTTCATCCACCTTTTCTCCTTAAAAAGACCCCGATTTTTACTTTTCACACTTTTTTTTCAACTCAATGACTGGAAAAGGTGAAAAAGATGGAAAGAGTTCACGCAAAACACGATGATTTATGCATTGAAACGGTTTTTTCCCCCCTTTTCTTCTATCAAATCTCTTCACTTGAATCTTTTCTTTTTCCCTCTTCGCTCAACTACACACTCTTCTCATCCCATCAATTCCTTTGCATCGGGAAATGACTGCGATTTGCGTGATAGTGATGCTTTGCAAGCGTTCTTTAAACTAAAGAAAGTTGGGAATGTCATGTAGTGTTAATGTCAGGCCATGGCTCACTTTGCTAGGCTAAAGCGGCTCTAGACCCGGCTCGATTCGAAGAATGTAAACTTAAATGTTATCTAGATCTTTCATTTCATTTAAAATCAAAATTTAGATAATAGACTTTATTATAATTGTTACATTAATCCAAATTTCCCCGGCAAAGCTAGACAAGACTGATGCTGATTCTGGTTAGCTCAAAAGCTCAGCTCAAATTAGCTCAAAAGCAAATCTAAGGTTTGGTTAATAACTACGATATGGCTACGGCCAGCATCAACTAAACTAAGCCAGCTAAAAATAGGTTTAAGAACAATGCAATATATGAGGCTAGGATCAGTTTTGACTCATCCTAGCATCATCTATTGCAAGCCTCATCTATAAGAAAGCTAGTAAGCTAGAAAGCTGTAAGAAAATGCTAGAGCTATGACTATGAAGATAAGCTATGAAGATAAGATCGATTTCAACCCCCCCCCTCGTTTAATTTTGCAAAAATGCTCCAACCGGATTCGAACCAGTGACCTAAGGAAGCCGTTCGCTCTGCAACCCTCCGCTCTACCAACTGAGCCATGGCTGATCCTGGCGGCCTGTTGAAAACAAGCTTATCTTTTGAGAGGAGTTGATTTCGTTTGGGTAGCTTTGATTAACTCAAAAGCTTTTGCAACTAAAAGAGCTAACGACTAACATAACCTCAATTTCGACCCGTTGGCACGTCCAGCCATAGCTCAGTTGGTAGAGCGGAGGACTGTAGATCGAGCAGCTATCCTTAGGTCACTGGTTCGAATCCGGTTGGCTGGAACTTTTTTGTTGTTTTGATGAAAAACGATTGTGGTTCTTTGCTCTTTGATTTCAATATGATTTTGAGGTAATTGTAAACGATTAGCCCTAGAATCAAGAGCCAGACACTGGCTTAAATCAAGAGCTAAAGCCAGACACTAGCTTAAATCAAGAGCTAAAGCCAGACACTGGCTTAAATCAAGAGCTAAAGCCAGACGCTGACTTAAATCAAGAGCTAAAGCCAGACACTGGCTTAAATCAAGAGCTAAAGCCAGGCGCTGACTTAAATCAAGAGCTAAAGCCAGACACTAGCTTAAATCAAGAGCTAAAGCCAGACACTGGCTTAAATCAAGAGCTAAAGCCAGACGCTGACTTAAATCAAGAGCTAAAGCCAGACACTGGCTTAAATCAAGAGCTAAAGCCAGACACTGGCTTAAATCAAGAGCTAAAGCCAGACACTGGCTCTTGTGCCCAATTTTGGCTATATTTAGGGAAAAGTTGTTCGTTTCTTTAGAAATAATTTCAAAGAATCATAAACCCCAATGCTCATTGCCCGCCCCGTAAACTGATTAGCGATTTCTCAGGAATACAATTTAATGGAAAATTTTACAAAAAAAAACAATTAATCTCTGGGTTTTCTAACAGCTTTTTTTTCAAAAGCTAAACATTTGATAAAGAAGATTTTTCTAAATTGTGGCACATCCAATTAGTGGGGGATTCAAATGGGGAGGGACACTCACTGATTTCTCTTCTAAATGACGTCAATCGTTCTTTTTTCAGTTATTTGGTGATGAATGTTTAAAAAAACATGTAACATAGTATTTTTTAGATTACTAGTTATAGATATTTAAGATCTAGAGGATCTGGAAGTAGTTCTAGAGGATCTGGAAGAGCTAAAGTCAAACTAAATTCACAAATGACCAGTTGTTAGGCTAGCCAGCAATTTCAAGCCTTGGCTCTGTTCTTGGCCTTAGTTTGGCACATTCTTGACCTTAGTTTGGCCCATTCCTGGCCTTAATTTGGTCCATTCTTGGCCTTAGTTCGACTCATTCTTGGCTTTAGTTTGGCCCATTCTTGGCCTTAATTTGGTCCATTCTTGGCGTTAGTTTGGCCAAATGGTTGATCTTTAAGACTTGGCTTGTTCTGGCTTGTTCTGGCCTTGCTTTTTCTGTTTTCTAGCTCCTATTTTGTACTTAGTCCAGTGCTTGGCTGGGCCTGGGTCCAAAGCTTAGCTGAACTTCTTTGTCTCTTCCTTGTCTCTTCCCTGTCTCTTCCTTTCTTCCTTGTTTCTTCCTTTCTTCCTTGTCTCTTCCTTTCTTTCTTGTCTTTTCTATTTATTGCTTATCTCTACCGTATCTCTTTTATGTAGAGTTTTATCTATTTTATCTATTTTATCAACCTTATCAATTTCCCAATCAAGCGTACCGGATTTCAGCGCGCGCTGGCTACCTCGTGTCATCCGGGAGGCGGGTCGGTGCACGTGATGCACTCGCCGCGTTTCTCGCCGAACACCTCTCCGCGAATCTCTCCACAAATCGCGTCAACCTCACAAACGTCGTTGAATCAATTGGGCTATCCGCAAACGAGCGATGCTCCATATCCACCACCATCAAATGGATATTCGACAGCGTTTCTCGATCCAACCGCTTGTCGTCGACGATTGCCGCCAACGCCGGCGAGGAGAGCGTCCTCGCCGAGAATGTTGCCCACTCCACCACCATCTTCACCCGATTTTCGAGCTCCGTCAGCACAATTGTTGGAGAGAAGGCCATCAGGTAATTGATACAGTTAGAGTTGTGAACTCTTTAGTAGACTTAGTTACAAGACTGGCTCTAGGAGTGCTAGGACTATGGGGAGAGTGCTAGGACTACGGTAAGAGTGCTAGGACTACGGTAATAGTAGGCCAGATCTAAGCTTTGGATTACGGTAATAGTAGGCCAGATTTACACTCGGGATTACGGTAATAGTAAGCCATAACTAGGCTCGGATTATGGCAACCTATTGAGTCACGCGTTACAGTAATCTGGCTACAATACTGGTGATAGCTATGGGTTACGGTGAGGCACGCTTTAGAATTGAAGCCCTAGCCAAACTTTAGGCTAACTAACCTTTATCTTTAAAGTAATAGGCTCTATAACTAGTACATTACCCTTCCTTGGCTATTCCTTGTCTTCAATTTCAATTGCCATCTCAAAACTTGCAGGCAGATTGCTGCCAAAGACGCCGATGGAGTCGTGTCTCTCCTCTCCATCACCGTCACTCGGCTTAACGAGCTCGCGATATTCCACACCAGATCCTGTCACTCCGCCATACACTCAAGAGGATTTCCATTCGTATCAGCAAATTCCTGACGTAATGATCGAGGCCTCGTCCAGAGCCAGCTCTAGACCAGGCTCGATTCGAAGAATCGTGCCCGAAGTGGTCGAGAGTTTAGACTATGATGATAAAATGGAGGAAGAGGTTGAAGATGTGGACACGGGATGCGACGAGGAGGTGGAAAACGATTTTACTGTGCCAAAGATCTGCCGAGAACAGCAACGAGTCGTTGAGACGCCCGACGAGGGAGTGCAATCACAGTGCAGCAGTCAGAGTCCGTCGTTTGACCGCATTGAACAGGTACGGCACTTTTTTTGGCTTTAGCTAGATCTGGATGCTGTATACAGCTACAAGATCTAACTTTTGTCTATTCTAGACTTGTTGAGTCGATTTTAAAGTTTAAATCTACAAACTTGGCTTGCCTACAGTAGCTACAGTAGCTACAGTAGCTACAGTAGCTACAGTAAGCTACAGTAAGCTACAGTAAGCTACAGGCTACAGCTTTTCTAGATAGAGATTGCTTTTTGAGCACTTATTTTTCTACTCTAAACCAACATCCGGATTGCGGTATTTTTAGCGCTTTTTTTAGCGCTCTAAGTTCATCCGAAATTTCCGCAACACTGATCCTTTTCTTTTCACATTTTTACCTCTTTTTACTGATTCATTTTAGTCATTTGACTATATCTGATCGGAGAATTTCTTCATTTTCTTCATTTTCTCGTTTTTTCCATTTTTTTTTACACAATTTCCTTTGTCTAGTGAGAAAAATTCGATGAATTCGATGAATACTAATTTCCTGCCTCATTTCATCCATTCAACGGGTAATCCTCTTCTCATTTTGTCGGTGCTTTGAATGAGATTCATTTCGCAGACAAAGTTCTATTGAAGAAGAGTTCGAAGATTGAAAAACAGAAGAAAAACTCGCTACGAAAGCTTTCTGGAAACACAATAAAAGTCGAAAACTGTCTGTCTGTTTAACTGTCTGGCATCGAGGCTCGATAGTCAATTGGTAAAGCTTTGATCAGCCCGCTGCTTTCATCAGCCGCCAACCCATAGTTCGATCTCCCCATGGTTCGATCTCCGCCAATAATTTTCTTTTTTCCATTTTTGCTTTAAACTTAGATTAAATATACGACTAAAGATAAGATTTTGCTTTCGTATTTGATAGGTTTTGAATGTAAACAGATATCAGATAATTAGCTGAGCTACGTGTCTCCATTCAAATCCTCCTTTCCCCCCAATTAGCTCAAGTTCACTTCCCCAATGACACCATCTTTTATTTCCTGGTTGGCTATCTTTTAAGAAGGACTTTTGAAAGGAAAACAAGGAGAATCATTTCTTGGGTTCTTCTAAACCCTGCAATTTTTGATTCAGTCAAGCCATAGAGAGAAGTCTATATCTAGAGTCCAGGCTCATTTCTTACTAGTTTAGACTCAAGCTCTAGAACCTTAGGTACCTTAGGTACGATAGCAGGCAACAGTTACAACTGTGGATCTGGAACTAGACCTGGAACTAGACCTGGAACTTGACCTGGACCTGGAACTAGACCTGGAACTGGAACTAGACCTGGAACTGGACCGGAAACTAGACCTGGAACTAGACTTGGAGCTGGACCTGAATCTAGACCTTGAACTAGATCTTGAACTAGATCTTGAACTAGATCTTGGACTAGACTTGGAACTGAACCTGGAACTAGACCTGGAACTGGACCGGAAACTAGACCTGGAACTAGACTTGGAGCTGGACCTGGATCTAGACCTTGAACTAGATCTTGAACTAGACCTGGAACTGAATCTGGTCCAATTCCAGGTCCTAAATAAGAAAGAGTAAGCAAAAATAGTAATAAATGCTGAAAATCAGAAATATTATTGTGAAAAACAAAAGTTTGAACTCCGGGATTCGAACCCATCACAAAAAGAAATTGGTAAAGCTTTGATCAGCCTGCCGCTTTCATCACCGGCCAACCCATGGTTCGATCCCCCCAGCCGACAATAACTTTGTAGGCCATGATAACATCCACTAGGCCACAACCGTCGTTTAGCGGGTCCAGTAAAAAGAGAATAAAGAGCAGAAGCGTCGTTGAAAGAGAAGTAAACTAAGCTCAAGAGTTTATAGAAAAAACTTCAATGCCAGAAAGCTTTCGTTTGCAAGCCATTCAACCGATTTTGATTACAGATTCGGATTCCCCGTTCTATTTTCTATCGAATGAGTAAGGTTTTGTTTTGAAAAGTAGATTTTGGGCTACTTGTTGAGTCCATTTCAAAGTACTGCCAGCCTCTAGGCTTCACATCTCCAGTTTAACCAATTTCAAGCATCAAACTAAGCAACTCTTGACTCTCCCACCCTCCCAAACTCCACTTTCAACCCTCTCACCCATTTAAGGCATCAAAAACAATTATCAAGTCATTTCTCATGATCTCTTAGACTCTTAGAGCCCAGTCATTTATCCCTTTACCCTTCCCGATCCACCAACCCTTCAACTCCTTCAACTTCTTCCCTCATTTAAGCCATTGACGTCTTTCCCTTCTCCTTCTTTCTCTCTCATCCGATTTCCCCTTCTTTTCCCCGACTTTTATATTCTAAGGCTTCTAGGGGTTACTGAGGCTAAACTTTAAAAAAAAAAAAGAAGAATCCTCTCTGGATAAGGGATTTTCACGAGATGGGCGCTGATTGGATTTCCGCTTGTCTCGTTTTCTCCATCGCTTACCCCTAGAAAAAGAGAAAGGGAAAAAGCTTCAGGGATTTTTTTTCATTAGAGCCCTTTTTATGCTGTGAATAGCTAGAATCTTGGGAATTGATGAGTAAAGTGAATATAATTACAGTAAACGGCATAAGAGTGTTATCGTTATCTAACAGAAGAATGGTGAGGTCCAGGTCAGAGCCCAGAGCCTGGATATGGGCTCTTGTTTGGATCCTAGATTCTGGGCCTTGACTCTGGACCTTAGATCCTGGACCCAGGATCTGGAAGTCAGCCTTGATCCTGGACCCTAGGCCCTAGACCTGGACCCTAAACCCTAGACTTAGACCCTGAACACTGGACCCTAGCTCTTAGACCCAGGATCTGGACATGAGCCTTGATCCTGGACCCTGGACTCTAGATCCTAGACCTGGACCCTAGGCCCTAGACTTAGACCCTGAACCCTAGGCCCTAGACCTGGACCCTAAACTCTAGACCTGAACCCTAGGCCCTAGAGCTGGGCCCTAAACCCTAGGCCTGGACCCTAAACCCTAGACCTGGACCCTAAGCCCTAGACCTGGACCCTAAGCCCTAGACCTGACCCTAGACCTGGACCCTAAACCCTAGACCTGGACCCTGAACACTGGACGCTAGCTCTTAGACCCAGGATCTGGACATGAGCCTTGATCCTGGACCCTGGACTCTAGATCCTAGATCCTAGACTCTAGACACTAAACCCTGGACCTAGAAACTTTGCAATAACCCTTTAACTTCAAACCCTACCCCTCTTCACTCGTATAATGGACCTAGTAAAAGGGAAAGGGAGAGAATCTCGTGAAATCTTTCTCTTTTCCCGCTTTTCTCATCCATTTTCCCCTCATCTCGTCAATGCGCCCCTAGGTGCCAATTTGCAAAAAGCCTCAACCATAGAATTTTTTTTGTCTTGCTGAAATTCGAGAAATGATTTTTCCAAGAGAACCACGTGCTGTTTCTATTGATTTGTGTGGGTTGAAAGTGTTGAAATCCTTTTAGTCTAATCAAAAAGAACTATGAGGTCAAATGTGGGGAGTTTTAAATCAAAAAAATATAGTCTTTATATAGTAGGGAATCTTTAAAAAAGAGACTTTTATAAAGAAGACTTTTCTCGAGAATTTTATAGTAAGTTATTTCTCATTTTTTTCCAGCCAATAGCTCAGTGGTAGAGCTGCTGCTCAGCTCAGTGAGCTGCTCAGTGTAGAGCTGCTGCTCAGCTCAGTGTAGAGCTGCTGCTCAGCTCAGTGTAGAGCTGCTGCTCAGCTCAGTGAGCTGCTCAGTGTATCACTGTAAACATAAACTCAAGCCTTCCATTCCCGTTCGAAAATCTTTCCACAAAGAGCTAAAATTGGTGTGTTGAAGAAAGGAAAGCGTTATTTCATCTCAATCTTTGTTTTGTCAAGAAATGAGAACGAATCTCCTCGAAGAAATGAGAACGGATCTCCTTCAATAGATCTTTTTCACTATATAGTCGTTTTCCGGCAATTTTCTCCTATTTTTCTCGATGTGAGCGGAAAAGGGCGAAAAAAAAATATGCTTAAATTGAGCTTAGAGATCTTTAAGGGGTATGCAGAGGCTTAATGGATGCCGAATTGTACTGTGATGAGCTAATCTGGGCTCTACTAAAGCCCAGGCCAACTGTAAAAGGTCAATAGAGGTTTATAAAGGTTTATAAAGGTTCATATAAGTGAAATTCGGCTTATATAAGTGAAATTTCGTTTAAATTAGGTCAAATTTAGTTAATTTAGTTAATAACGGTTATAAAAAGGTTGAATTTGGTCGAATTTAGTCAATCTGAGGCAAATCTGGGTCAATCTGGGTCAATCTGGGTCAAATTATGTTAATCTAGGTTAAATTTGATCAAATTTGGTCAAATTAGGGTCAAATTCGGTCAATAGAGGTTAGTGTAGGGTAAATTTGATCAAATTTAGTCAAATTAGATTAATATAGGGTTAAATTAGAGTCAATAGAGGCCAATCGAGGTCAATAGAGGTTAGTATAGGTTAAATTAGGGTCAAATTTTCGTCAATCTGGCTCAAATTAGGGTCAAATTCGATCAAATTCGCTCAAATTCGATCAAATTCGCTCAAATTTTAGGCCAATTAGGTTAATATAGGTTAAATTGGGTAAAATTTAGTCAAATTAGGTGAATAGAGGGGGCGGATGGGTCAAATTCGGTCAATAGAGGTTAGTAAAAGTCAAATTTGGTTAAATTTCGTCAAATTTGGTTAAATTTCGTCAAATTTTGTCAATCTGGGTCAAATTTGCTCAAATTTGCCCCAAATTTAGGTGAGATTTCCCTTCTAAAACATTCACTCGATTGAATTTATTGATCCACGACGGATCTATTGAATCTATTGAATCTGTTGAGTCGATTGATCGACGATGGATCGTTTATGCAATCGATTGTATGCAATGCTTTTAAAAATAGGCTTTTACCTTTATTTTGAGTCCTACTAAAGGCTAAACCTTTTTCAAATAGGTGCCTTTAGGCATAAATTGAATGCAAAATCAAATTGATGCTGTGTAGAGGGTAGAATAGCCTCTACACAGCCTCTACACAGCCTCTACCTCTAAAGAAGACGTTGTA